CATTTCACTTATCATCATGTTATTACTCAAATTACTGTATGTCATTTTGTCTCTAATAATTTTTTGCTTTATCATGAAAAATAGCACCGGGGCCTGCACCCCTCTGGCCAGGGCAAGGGGGGTGCCCCCCCCCCAGTAAATCCATCCCTGAATACATCTCTGCAGGAATGCAAGAAGAATTTGGCTTCTTTTCCCCCATGAAAACTTAATCCCCCATACCAGGATAATTTTGGTGTTTAACATTTTGATATTTTCTAACTAATGTGTTACTGCAACAAATTTTCTGAACCCTTGTTTATTAGCTTAAATAAATATTCAATCTTTCAGAACTAGCAATTTATCATGCTTTGTCATTCTCAGTCTGGCTTTCATATGAACAGCCGTTAAAAACACACATTGACATGACAACTATCCTTTTCTTAATACCATACTGACAAGGTTTCCAAAACTCAGCCTGAGGGCTGAGAGCAAACATATTTGAGCTTGTTGAACAAACTAAATGCATATTTCACTGATGTCTGAATTTATAAAACATTGCATACTTTTATTCCGTAAATCCTCTACTTAGGCTATCCAACAAGTCCCATTCTTTGCCCCTTCACAACAAAGAAACACATGATACCAATTGGATTTATTTATTGCCCTTCAAATAACTATGTGCCCACATTTATTCAATTAGTATTCATGGTAAATCATATTGTCAATATATAAAATAATATTGAATTTCTTGTGCTTGCCTGTAATTAGCAATTAGCATATATGAGCACACTTATATATCAGTTTCGGTTCACAAATTACCTGCCCAGTCTAAAAAATATTGTCAAATGGCCCAAACTAGCTTGTGGGAGATCTAACCATGCAAGCCTATTATTACCTAGCCATGGGCTCCATGGAAGGGCCTGTTTATAAAATCCCAGCTAGGCAGGATGAGGCAGTTTCCAAGATCCTGACTATCATATCAACTTGTGTTCAAAAGTACATGTATATATTTGATGAACTCATGAACATGTATAAACATGACATCCTAGCTGCCTGGCAAGATTTCCCACTTTCCACCTTACAGGATCATATAAACATGTCTTAATATTAATTAAAATAAGCCTTTTAAATACTGCAATATCCTGCATACTAATATACTATATGTCACAAGACTTTGCAAAATAACATTTTCTACTTTCCTGGCAATATGTCAGACCATCCCAATAATAAACACATCCAGGTTTATTGTAAATATAATTATAAATGTCCAACTGAATCAGCAGAAACAGCCAAACAGGGAGGGTTTCAAAGGACTAGGCCACCTAGCTAACTAAGCTAAGAAAAAGAAAGGTTATTAATTTTGCTCAGCCACACGCAAAATATTCTTTGCCCTTTCATGACCAAGAATCCTCAATGAGATATATTATTTACAATATAAAAATATGCAACGGATTCGAAAAGACGAAAACATTCCAGCGACTATTATTCGTAGAGAGACTTCGGTTCGTGTCGTAAAAATCGTCGGAATTACTCTTCCCCAAAAAATGTCGCTTTAACCCATGTAGCTCACGTATAAATATCATTGAACAGATCTTTTTAAGTGCACATATTTGCACAACGCATGGTTGGCAAATCTTCTTTTATTATTTCTTCTTTTATCTTCTTTTATACTAAAAGAAGATTTTTTTGAAGCAGAATTTCTTCTTTTATCTTCTTTTAGTATTTTTTTATTTTTTTATATTATATTTAATTATTTAATTTAAAAGTAGTTTTGTAAATTTGACAATAATATTTATTTAATTATTTAAATAACAAATATAATAAGAAAACTGGGGTTCAATCATTTTCATAATGAAAATTCCATTACGTCCACCAGTCTCAATAGTGAAATTTAAAAATTACGTCACATTGTGACGTCATCATCGTATTTTTTTCGAATGTCAACAATCTTCTTTTAGTACTTAAAATCTTCTTTTAGTACTAAAAGAAAAAAGAAGATTTTTTTCTGATAAAAATCTTCTTTTATCCAACCCTGGCACAACGCCGACCTCGAACGCTTCAGCAATGCGCTTTAGCCATATTTAATTTATTACCTTTGTGTTAAATTTATGCATTATTAATACAAATTTATGCCCCCCCAAATTTTGGGGGGCTGTGATGTGATTGGTCAATCAGAACAATGCCGAAGCTCATTGACCCAGCCGTTAAGTGGGCGAGTGGCGAGAACACAACGGCTGGAATCTGAGCCTATATCGAAGAGAGCCTGACACAATTCGCCTCTACGGCCTTTCCGCCCCCAGAATATCTGCCACTTAAAATTATTTCCGGTTGTAGCATATTTCCGGTTGTCCGCTATGTAAATACGCAATTTTCGTTATTTACAGTTTTGTATAAATTTGAATAAATACGGAGAAAATTCGGTATGTTTTTGCCGAAATATCCACATGATCGAATTCTAAACGTAAACTATGCCTCATTCGGGGAACCATAGCTGGATGGCTTTTTCCAGGAGCCTAAAGAGACAACATTCGGCACTCTGAATAGGATTTCTTCTTCCTCGGTCCTCGTGTCATGTTAATAGTTTATTTGAGACAACAGTCTCACTTCAAATTCGCTTCAAATGCGTCTGACACAGCGGCTATTGTCTTCAATTTCTGCCTGATGTTGGCATATTAGTTCGAGAGAGCTGACAACTATATCCTTGCAGGTCTTGGAAAACAGCTCGGCAATAAACTGATAAATAAGGCTTTTAATAACTTTTAAATATACGGAACTAAATATCTGAAAATTTCCGACACCACATATTTTCGTTCTACGGCGACTTACTTCAACGTCTTCTCGTACTTATTTTGTCATTTTTAGGCTTAATTAATTGAAAATAAATTTCACAAATAAAGCACTTTTAACAGTGTATTGGCAAAATTTATACAAATTCTATTTTTGGTGTTTACATACGCTGGTCATATATTTCCGGTTTGAATCACATGATGCGTTTTATCGTCTCTTAGCCAATCAGCATAACATCCAGATTCTGGATGTTGAACATGGCTTTAGAGGCGAATTGTGTCAGGCCCTCTTTCAATACCGAGGGCCTGATACTCAGGTTAGTACTATTGTGATGGGGTGGAAGGCATTACGTCATTACGTGATTCAACAATGGTCGATCGATGGATGTATAGTGTAAACAATTCAATCCGGAGGGAGCGCTTGCAAGTTATTTCCGTAGCTTTGCAACATTCGGCCTACCCTGGGTTCAGAGTTTTCTGGAGTCAGACCTTTAGGAGGCGACGAGGTGGAGAAAACCTCTGGGCGCGACCTGTCGAATTTGATTTCCATGACGTAATGTATTAATGTTTCACACTTCCGGTCTGAAGGGTGTAGTCCAGTACGTATTCAAAAGTATTCAACAAAAACATATTCCCCTGACCAATTTTGTTGTGTTTGCCAATGTTACATTAATTGTTGTATTCGGAAGAGGAAAATGTAATATTTTCTCTGGGAAGATTTCCAATGAACTGGCGCATCGGCTGTCTATTTTGGACACAACGTGTCTCCAAATTTATACTGATGACAAATTGACAATCGGCAAATCTGTCTATTCTAAAGCAGTTTCAAGTTATAAATTCAAAATACAAGCAGCAATCGAGTACATATTTTAATACTTGCATGTGAAAAATAAAGTAATGACAGTTTTGAATTATTACTTTCAGGTTTGATGATACAGAAAGTTCTATATCTGTTTAGGACTTTACATTGTGTATATTTACATATAAAATACAGTATATAATATATTTATCCCAAATACCTTGCCACGACTGAATTTTTGTTCATAAATATACATGAATTCCACAATACGGGCTACACAATTTTAAAACAAACTACATGAAAAACAATTGAACATACACAGTACACTGACTACAGCATACAGTACAGGCTGTACAGCACAACACGACCACATACACACGACAACATTCCGCTCAATTAATTATACTCGACATATATACAGAATCATCGCATCATCATAGCGTGATATTAATATGTCTGCAATGACGCTATTTGATCTAACTGTTTAGGAATAACATGAACTTCATCTGAGATGACAACCAACAAATTCTCCTCATAAACGTTTCCACGAACAATCGCTTTTTGTTAACGAAATGCACTCACTTGTCGAACAGTATTAATAGAATACAGCAAACGTTTATTGATGTTTGCCGATAAGGCCCAATAAACCAATCAGATGTCTTGGGTCAAAATCTGACCCTAGGCATCTGATTGGTTCGGCGAAATCAATCAATCAACACATCGCGCCCAGGGGGTTTCCAATTTGGCCAGCACCGCCTGAGTGCAGGCTACAGCTTCAGAAAAACAGGAAACCCCCTGATCCAGAGTACGTTCGGCCAGCATGTATAATAAAAAAATTTCAAATAGGATTTTTTTCACAACGGCAGATGTTTTTCTGATTTACATTATCTAGCATTTAGAGAAACAATCATAAAATAAATATCAATTTTAAGATATGAATGGCTAATATGTGTAGGTACTTTCTCGCCCTCCGTGCAACAAAATCAAATGAAACAATACACGTGCTCTGCACTGCGCCAATTTTAATATGGCGGTGTCAGAGGAGTCGCAGTACGATGTCGTGTATAGAACGGGTCGTTCAAAGTCAAAGATGCAGTCAATTTTAACCTTGTTTTTGTGCTTATATTATCTAACAAAGAAACAGAGTGATACAGAAAATAAAAAAGCGCCTGTGGTCATGATCGTTTTGATATAAATTAGCTATACACATGTCACATATTATTAAAAATAACTCAATACCGTATACTACCTATATATATATAGGCAAACAACTCCCATCTTATATTGCGATATTGTTGTAAAATGGAAATTTTGCTCCGGAGCACTGAGCACAGGCATGCAAAGAGACGATGGTTCTTTAATGTTTATATTAAATAACGATGGCAGCTATGTCATGATCACAGGCTCTGACAACGGGCAAATCTTACTGCCCAATACTTATATAAATGCAGTAAGACTATAACTTATTACATAAGACGTACTTAGTTATTGTTATTTTGTCTTGAATATTAGGGACCTTTAGCAAATAGGTGACGGCAACGCGACGACGACGGCCAAAATAAACTCGTTCGAATAAGTAACTTTAAGATCAACATGTCTTGTATTATCCGTTGTATGAATTTATTGCAATTTAAGAAGGTTAAGACAGAGGTTTATAGTTGAGAAGACTTCTACTAAGCCAATTTGGCGAGGCGATTTCTCGCGGCTTGAATGAAAATATTTGGCTTGCTGTTGTAAACAGAGCAAGGACGACGTCTAAAACTCCCATGGGATCTTTAATTATGTATTTTCTTTCTACACTGTCATAAATTTCATTGTATTAATAGCCGTCACCGTCCTGCTAGCTAAAGGTCCCTATTAAGCCCTTCAACCCAAGCATATGCGCATTAAAGCATCTGATTGTTAAAGCGCTATATACTGTCAATATGGATCGTGACTAAGGCAGCGTTTACACTGTACCGTTTTCGTAGCGTTCTCGTATTGTTCGAGAGAACTAGACTATTGTCTTGCGTCCCCTTGAGGATTAAGAACAATACGAGAACGCTACGAAAACGGTACAGTGTAAACGCTGCCTAAAACACCACACGAGTACATACGAGTAACACACAAGTACATACGAGTAACATACGAGTACATACGAGTAACACACGAGTAACATACGAGTACACACGAGTAAATCACTTTGGGTTCGTATTATGTTCATGTTGTAAATGCCTTATTGACATAGGCGTACGAGACAGGGGGGGGGGGGGCAACTGCCCCCCAAATTTTGGAAAACCATGGAAATTCGGGCAAACGCTAGGAAAAATCAAGAAAATTCGGGCAGATTTATGAGAAAATATGGTAAAATCAGGTTATTTCTTTACAATTCTCCATAAAAATTCGGGCAAACTTTCAACTGTTCTCCGCCCCAGAAAACATCAGCCCCGTTCTCCTATGCGTATGATGGATTTCGAAGCCCCGCACGACGTAGATAAAGTAATTCATTAATATAGAATAAAGATTTGAATGTTCTAAGACTCTAAAAAGGTTTAAATGTAGTATATTGCTCACAGGCTGTCAGAGAGTTTATGTAGTACATGAAAGTGCATGTTTGCCATGTTGTTTATACGTCTGTAGCCTATGTGTTTTGCAAATTTAATACGTGAATTGTACACCGGGAAACATAAAATACTTAGGGTTCATTATTTATCGGTTGCGGGGGGGGGGGGGGGGGTCACTTTGGGTTCGTATTATGTTCATGTTGTAAATGCCTTATTGACATAGGCGTACGAGACAGGGGGGGGGGGGGCAACTGCCCCCCAAATTTTGGAAAACCATGGAAATTCGGG